CCTTTATTTTTAATTTCTATTTGGATTTTCTGGCTTAGGCTGCATCTACACTACCGAAATAATGCAGTTGGACACCACTTTCACTGCCATGGCTCAATGCTATGTAATTCTGGGATTTGTAGTTTTGTGAAATATTTAGGGGCTATCAGGGCCACAGCAACCACATGCCACAGCCCCGATCCTCCCTTTTGCTGCCCCTGAATGAGCAGCAAAATGCCACTTCTTTCAGGGATGGCAAAAGGCCGCCCTAAGAGCCGGTGCACATCTCTTCAGCACCCTTTCTGGTGCAGTGCATCAAAATGCTGTGCCGGAAGGGTGTCTTGGCACCATGCGTAATGGCATGTGGCATTAGGACAGCATCGGTGTGGGGTTGGGGCGGCCGGCATGTGGTTGGCCCATCCCATCGCTGCTTCCAGGCTGGTCCTTTGGGCCGGTTTGCAGAGGCCCTAAGTCTCTTTTGCCAGAGAGCTCTGGTGCCACAACAAACTACGAATCCCAGGATTCCATAGCATTGAGCCATGGCAGTTAAACTTCATTAATTCTGCAGTGTGGCAGGAGCCTTAAATGACAAACCCTTTAGACTGGCCCTGCCCCAGTTTCATGTAACTCATGTGAGTTTCCCCTTCTGTCCCTGTGTTCTCCAACTTTTCTTCTTGCATGTTGGTAAAAGACAGGACAGGAAAAAATGCTAGCATCAGCATTAACAGCAGTGCTCAGTCATAGTGAAAAAGAAACAGGGAGGAACAGGAAGAAAATTTCCCATACTATCTCTTTGGCTTTTGGTCCTGTCCACCTGCCAAACTAATTTGACCAAAGTGAAGAATGTTTTGTTGTGCTGGACCTTTTAAAGGCAGATAAGTTGTTCAGGAACCATCAACACAGTGAAAAAAGAGTTCCAAGCTATTGAGGTGAGGTGGGACTGCCAGGATAAAGAATATGAACACCCTGCAGAGTCTCTGTTTGCCATCCTCTGTTTCTTGCTAGAAAAAAATGGTTCTAGAAACACTCTTTTTAAACAAATATCTATTGCATGAATTCAACGATATAGCCATGTTAGTCTGTAGAATCAGTATGTAGAGAGATCTTGTGGCATCTTTGAGACTAACTGAAAGAAACGTTGGCAGCATGGGACTAAAGTCAACTTCTTCAGATGCCTATGCATAGGTATCTGAGGAAGCAGACTTTAGTCTACAAAAGCTCATGCTGCCAACTTCTTTTTTCAGATAGTTTCAACGGTGCTACAAGATCTCTCTATATCTATTGCATGAGGCATCTTCCTATGGGAGATTTCCATAATGGTTAATAGAGTCCCTGGATCCAGGGGAGGGCAAAATGAGGGATTTACAGTCCCAGTAAGAATTCTGTCCCCTGAAATGAAATTGTCCTTCAGATCCCAAATTTATACCATTGTAAAAAGAGTGAGACCTTGAAAAATCATTCATACCTAGTACATTCATATTTGCTGTGTTGACCTTCCCTCGGTAGCTTCACCTGCCCCTATTCTTTGAATGCCTAGACTGGGTTTCTAAATGCTCAGGTGAAATTTTAAGGTACTGCGGTGCTAGAAATTTGTCAGATGAGAGATGAGGAGGTAGAGAGGACAGAAGCAATGTTACACCTTTCTTTTCTTCTGTTCAAACCCTGTTGCTGTTGCCTGAGATGGAGCAGCAGATGACATACACCTTCCACTGACTTATGTCAATGTACAGAGTATCCAAAGATAGCCAGGTTATTTAGGCATATGAGACAGAAAACCCCAGAAGTGGCATTGCCTTCTCTGGAAGAAGAAAATTGAATAATAATAGATTTAATGACCTCCCCCCCCCCCACGGCCCCAAATTGTTGTCTTTTCATGGCACCCAAACTCTGCTAGCTAAGATACTTGCCTCTCTCTGGTCGGGTTGGCCCTATACAGAAAAAAGACAGAGAGGATCCTTTGCATCAGATAAATCCAGAAAGGAGTGAGGTTGAATTGGTAATATTAATTATAACTAAGAAAGGGTGTTCCCCCCTTAGACGGTGGATGTGGGCTAGTAAGCAAGGAAGGATTCACAATACAAGCTTTCAAATCAAAATGTCATCTGAATTCACCCTCTGCTATTATGTAAATTGATGAGAATTTTATTATACACTTGCCTCTAGTCAAATATTTGGGGAAACAATGCAGCAATAAAATGATTAATTTATAATTTTCTGAATGGCCATCTATATTTATCCAAAATAAATGGCTTACCAAGCAGTATCACTGTGGTAATTGTCAGTTATCCAGTACAGGTATATGGAAAGCTAATGGGATATACAATTCAGGTGGAAGACAGGATAATTAAAGTCTTTACACAACATGTTTCCTGAACCCACAAAGTGTGTGTGTGTGTGTGTGTGTGTGTGTACGCACATGTGTATGTGTAGAGGGGTAAAGTTTCTCTATAGCCTTGCTCTGATATGCTGGTGTTTGTGTGAGAGAGGTTGTATTTTATATGTTTGAACGATGAAACATTTTATGTTTTTCTTGCAGTCTGAAATGGTGCAGACTTGCAAAACACAGGGCCCCAGGTAAACACAGCTAAAACACAACTGTTTTAGCTCCAGTGTTTGGCTGTCACTTTCTTAGGGTGGGCAATGTCTGGTTCCTCCTAGCTTGATCTTCATTTTTATGGGGGGATATAGCATGGACATGCTTAATTTTCCCATAAAGAGCAGTGAAAATAATGCAAATTTGTTTTAATAGCGGGAAAAGTGAAAGAGCCATTTTAGCTGTGGTGGATATAATATCTCAATTTATCTGTATCAAAGAAAGAAGAGTGAGAAAAACAAAACAAAATAGTGTATAATTTACTAATCTTATTATTATGCAATACAACTTTTATCACCATTATTGTGTAATTAAATATCATAGCTAATTAAAATCAGCACCTACATTACTGTCTGCAGTAATACACATCCCAAAAGGGGATCTCCTCAATTTATTTCCCTGCAAGCTTTTTTCTGAGATGCAGCACTAAATGTACATTCATTCACTCACACACACACACTAACAAATCATTATTCTCCGTACAAGATGGAAAATGCAATTTAATTAACAATTTGCACAGTCATTAACTTCCTCCTTCCTGGACCAATCTCCTCTTAAGTACCAACCATGCATATAATTTAAACTGTGAGCATTACCCAGAAAAGGATTTATTTTATTTTATTTTATTTTTGCTTAAAATGTTAAAAATCTGTGGTGGGCATCCAGAGTTTGCTTCCATCAATAGAGGAAGAAAGCAAATTTGGCCACTTCCTCCACCCTCTGAGGAAATTTGGCCACTTTCTCAAATTTTGAACCCTCCAAACTCTGCTTTAGAGTACTAGGGGTCCCTCCCGAATGATACAGGATTTATAGCCGGGGCAGCAGAAGGTGAGACAATTGGCAAAAATCCACTGTCTTCATTTGCACCAGTGGGGGCCTTGCACCAGTTTATAGATATGAATACTGTAGTTCATCCCTTTTTGTTTAGCAAAGTCTGGTTGCAGTCCAGTATTAACTTGTGAAAAGTTGTGAGAAATATAATAAGAAAGTGTCTAATCTGTGACATGTGAATCTCTCACTTCTCAAGGCTGATCTCACAATAAGGCCGCACCCCATGAATGATTCAGATGGTGATAACAGCAAACTCCGAAGACGGAAGTTGTCTTTTGAAAGTGACATTGATAAAGGTAATTTTAAAAAATGCTTGATGAAAAGCTCATTGCATACATGGGCACTAAGGCTGCATCTGCACTGCAGAAATAATACAGGTTGACATCACTTTAACTGCTATGGCTCAATACTAGGGAATTCTTGGAATTGTAGTTTGTGAGACATTTAGGCTTCTTTATCAGAGAGCTCTGGTGCCACAACAAACTACAATTCCCAGAATTCCATTGGGCCATTTAAAGTCAAGCTGGACTATTTCTGCAGTGCAGATGCAGTGTCAGTGTTGTCTGGATAATGAAAATGGGTGTCTCTTAGGCTCTGAACCTACTGAACTAATTTGTGTGGATGAAACATTGTTTGTAGTATGTGCATGCTGGGTGTTCTTCAAAGCTAACAGTGCATGGACAAATTTGGCATTCTTTGATATGATTTTTTTTTTAAAAAAATGCTTGTTGACCTTAGAATCCCAATGCTAAGGACTTCTAAATTACTCAGAATCTTTAGCTGCTTAGCTCTAAGCCTTTCTAGCCAGTCTGAAAAAGCTCAGAGAGAGTTCTGGAAAACTGTTGCCTGAGAGCCTGCATCATGATGCACAACATCACAATGACAGAGGTATGTTGCTGACATGATGCTGAACAATGCAATTGAATTGTGACAATATACAAATGGGACACAGTGCAGGGTGTGCCACTGTGCTACAGTGGCTTCCTTTGCACATGTGGAACCTTGGGACACATAACAATGGCCACACTGCTCGCTCCACTAGTGCAGTGGCCCCAGTGGTGTAGCTATGTCTCTTCCTCTCTCCTGAGAATACAAACTTTACACAACAGCCCAATTCCACTTCACACAAATGCCCACAGTCTATGATGATGTAACTTCCTCACCAGGATGCCAGCCAATCTTTGGTACCAGCTTATACCAGGATAATAGCAAGGAGCATAAACTGGTTAGACTGCAGTACTACAGAACTTGTGATATTGTCCTAGTTACAGCAGGAAGTTGACCCAGCAAGAGCCGAAGCCCAATTTGTCTTTAGATTACCACAAAAACCTGTTAACGGTTGGAATTCTGCTCTGGTAGTGAGGTTGCTAGGATTTAAAGGACTGGCTCTCTAGCCAAGTATGACTGATCCCTTGAAAACTGTCAAACTACCTTCTGTCCTTAGAACCTCCTATCCTATTCTAAATCCAGCCCACAAATCCTAAAACTTTTAAGCCACACATCTAAGGGGTTTACTCCCACTTGCTGTTGTGTGCCTTTAAGTCGTTTCCGACTTACTGAGGCTGAGACTTGCCCAAGCTCACTCAGTGGGTTTCCATGGCCAAGTGGGGATTTGAACCCTGGTCTCTGAGTCATAGTCCAACCCTCAAACCACTACACCACACTGGCTCCATTGTGCCTGGGATTAAATCCCATGTTACTCAAAAAAAGCCTACTGCTTCTTAAATAAGATTGTACTGTTTATTAAACTAACATTTCTCCATTTGTTGTTCTTGTTGTTATGTGCCTTCAAATTATTTCTGACTTATGGTGAACCCACAGGGAACATATCATGGGATTTTCTTGGCAGAATTTGTTCAGAAGTGGTTTGATCTCCCTTTCCTCTGAGGCTGAGAGAGGGCAGCTTGTGTAGTGTCACCCAGTAGATTTCCATGGATGATTCAAACACCGGTCTCCCAGTGCCCTAGTCCAACGCTCACTACATCATGTTGGCTCTCAGGTCTCCATTTACTATGGTGTAATTCTGATTCTTAGCATACTAATTTAAGATGTCCCTGAATTGCTGATGCTATATAAATTATGTTTTGAAAGTTATTAGACCAATCTTGCATCCTAGAACAAAGAAGTTTTTAGCTCACCATCTTACGGTTTCATAGAATTACATTACCTTTCCATCAAATGGACATGTCTGAAGCATAAAGCCAAGAGTGACAGCACAGCTGTCAAGAAAATGTCCCCATGAAACATTTAAGCTGCTCCTCACACTCAAACACAGAAAGCCTGTTGACAGAGGTGGCTTGCCTGAATGACCCACACATTGCATATGAGCAAACACACCTTGCCATCTGAAGAACAAAATAATAACCTTCTAGCCCATGGCCAGTATGGAATTTTTAGCAGCTGCTTCTGGGTGGCAGATGAATGTCTTTCATTATTTTGGATCTCAACATACAATACAACAACATTTTGGTCTTGTAAGAGCTGTGGAAATTAATGAAAGAAGGAAAATTCCCTTGTGGATATCTCCCCATGAAGCCTTCTTTGGAAGGTGGACGGCTGTCAAAACATGGCTAAGATACAACCAAATATTAAAGAAAAACAGACAACAATATGAATTCAAATCTATGGCTGAACTTGGACAACTTGACTCAAAAATACACTGATTATTATACACTCAACTCAATGAAAGATTTAAAATGGATAATAAATTA